AAAGCCAATTATACGTGGGACGAAAAGCTACCAGAGACGAGAGTGAATGAGTGGAAAGATATAGTAAAGTCTATACATGGTTTTCACAAAGACCTTCCTTGAATGATATCAAAAAGAGCGGATCAGCAAGTTCTTGTAGCATTCGCAGACGCAAGTTTAGAAGGTATGGCAAAGTATGGCAATACTTATGCGACGATCGCTCTGCAAGTTTGCTGATGGCGCGAAAAAAGCTGCCTTCAATACGGTCTTCAATGACTGTACCCAAAATGGAATTGAATGCATTGACGTTGGCAATGCGACTAGTCAATGCCCTCATCACCCATATTCAAACAGTACTACGTCTTCGGCAAATCTGTTTATTCTGACTCCGAAATAGTACTGAACTGGCTCAAGGATTCAGGGAGAAAGGAGAAAGGAGTCTTAATCAAACACCGTCTCACAGAAATCAAGAATATATACGAACACTTGAAGTCAAGGGGACTTCAAGTCTCCTTCAGGTTCGTTCCATCGGGTCAAAACCCTGCTGACTGCGCTACTCGTGGCCCACATAAGGACGACTTTGAAAACCACTTCTGGTGGAATGGTCCGTCTTTCCTACATATTCCTACTTCAGAACTGCTGGAACTAAAAAACACCAGCGTCTCTTGCTTTCTGGGAAATGAACGATACGAGGAGAGAGAGGAGCCCTTTGAAATCGGCTTGGCAGCCACGAGTCATCCAACTCCAAAAGAGCACGCAGAGGAACTCATTTCAAGTAGACAGGCAACAACGCTCACAAAAGCAAAAAGAATTTTGGCATACGTTCTACGATTTGTACGGGTCATAGTTCAGCGGCTCAGTATTAAGGATCCAGGCCACGTTAATATCTCGACCCCGCTCAAAGAATGTTTAAATCTCACTACAGACGCACTAACGGGGAGAGAAGTCAAGTACACAGAAAAAGTTCTAATTCGTCACCGTCAGCGAATATGGATCAAGCCAGGAATACTCCAAAAATTCTGTCATTTGAATGAGAAGGAAGATAGCGAGGGCATTATGCGATGTTTCGGCCGGTTAGGAAAAAGCGAAATGGAAGAAGAAGCGAAATACCCCATCTTAATTTTGCAAAAGACTCTTTTGGCTGAACTCATCATACAAGAGGCTCATCTCAGTGGTCATCCAGGAGTGAACCACACTATGTCTATTACACGACAAAAGTTCTGGATCCCACAACTACGTTCACAAGTTGCAAGACAAGTTAGAAAGTGCATAGTTTGTCAGAAACTCAACAACTTGCCGTGCAAGTACCCCGATCAGCCAAGCCTTCCGGCAGAACGTGTCGTTCAGTCACGTCCATTCCAGCATGTGGGATTAGACTACTTTGGTCCACTCACAATCATTGTTCCAACAAAGGACAAAGAAAAGTGTTATGGAGTCATAATTACCTGTATGGTAACACGTCTAATTCACCTGGACATCGTTTCTAATCAGTCGACAAGCGCCTTTCTCCAGATGCTTCGTAGATTTTTCGCACGGAGAGGCGTTCCTTCCTCCATCACTAGCGATAACTCACCGACATTCCTGTTGGGCGAAACGATCCTCAAGGAATGTTTGACTGCAGCGCAAAATGACCCTGCAGTGGCCCGGGAGATCAGCGATAAGGAGATTGATTGGCGACATATAACCCCATATGCTCCCTGGCAAGGAGGTTTTTATGAAAGGTTAATCAAGTCAGTCAAGTACTCTCTTTACAAAACGCTAGGAAAGACCATACTCTCCTTCGAAAAGCTACCGACGATGATCGTGGAAATAGAAGCACTGCTCAATACCCGACCGCTTCTCTATTCCGACTCGAGTTTCGATCGAGGAAGCATTTTGAGACCGATCGATTTCATCCAAAGGGAACTTCAAGTGCATTTACCCTTCGAATCGCTCGACAACGAACTGGTAGATTCCTCCTACGCGCCACCTTTCGACATTCCAGTAATTCACACAAAAATTCAAGCAGTCCAGGCGTTACAGAGCTCGTGCAAGTTAACCGAAAGATTCTGGCGAGTCTGGCACACTCAGTATCTCACTGCTCTGAGAGAAAAACATCAGACTAAAGTTGGAAGCAAAAGAGCTGGAGCATTGTTACCGAAAGTCGGGAGTCTCGTCTTGATTTGCGACGAGGTTCAACCTCGGCACATGTGGCGGATGGGGAGAATTAGCGTCCTACCGAAGAATCGAGACGGAGTAATCAGAGAAGCAGTTATAACATTGCCTTCGCACAGACGAATAGAAGGCCTCCAAAATTGTTGGTACCATTGGAGTTAGAGGACACCACTGAAGACTACAGTCACGAGGTTCAAGACGCAGCCGACATCTCACAAGAAGAACGGCAAGTTGCGGAGCCTACGCATATCTACAATTTGCGACCACGCTCGCAGAATATCAAAGAGCACAGAAAAACAGCAACTAGTGTCGGATCCGTCTCAGTTTCAAGTTTACTATTCATCCTGGCACTAGGCTTCTTCGTCGTGACAACCACTGCAGATTCACCGGATTCAGGAATTTGGGCTCGAAAACATGTTACTGCACTTGTTTGGTACAAAGGTTACGAGAAAATATGGAAAAAGAGTCTGTTCAGTCTGTCAAAAACAAATTACAACCTCAAATTCCTTCATATCAAAAAGAGAAATATTTGAAGTCTATAAAATGCAAAAAAGGCAGATTCATATCCAGTGTCAAGAAAGCTACGGTTGTATTTCCAAATGTTTCAAGTATGCGATACGCCTCAATTTCGGCAAGTTCATCCCTGGTTCATTTCACTTCATTAGCTGGGATCATTGTTTTCCTACCGTTTGAACTAAAACATTGGAAAAGACCGTTGCGGGCAACGGCTCAACCATTTTACAAGTGCTTACGCTTGCGCAGCTTTCACAGGCCAACTACCGTTTTAAGTATAAGTTCAAGCGCCACAAAAATTTCTGAGGTATGGCCTAACACCGCGACCCGCGTTCACAGACCCAGTAGAAAGCATGAGCAAGAAACAGCCTCACTGTATTTCAAGTTCAATGATTTGTGTAAACAAAGCTCAAATGCCTTCAGGTACGCAAATTCACACGCTCCTAACTTTGGGTTGGCCATATGCGATATAGATGGAGATGCTGCATACCTCAGCAGACTACTCGTGAGATCACACCCAAACGCTGAACATCTTGAAACCGAACTCGAAAATGCTTTAATGATATACGACGTTATATTACTGTGTCGCGTACTGTTCGTAATCATTTTAAATTCATGCAGTCCGATGACCCCTTTGAAAATGCCGGGGCGGGGGAGAAAGTCATCCTTCTCAGATGTCAGACACTCGGCTAGCACCGTAAAGGAAGTTCTTCTGCGAGTTGGAACGCGATACGTACTCACCGAAAGGATCTACGCACTTCAAGCAAGTTCAGCAGGAGTTTCCGCGAAGCGCTATGAAGAATGGCTGGCAAAGGATGGAGGGTCGCACAAGATAGGACTCGTCCTCTTATACAAGTGATCGAACAGACGGAACACCTCCTAGCGGAAGCCAAAAAGGATCTCAAAAAGGAAAGTCCTAAAGACCACCCAAGGGAAATGGAGAATTTCAACAAGTTGCAGCAGCTCCTGAAGGAACAGACCGAAGAAATCAGGACCGTGAGAACCAAGTTGTCATCATTGAAAACTTTGTGACGAACGGAGACCAGTAGGTAGCGCAAGAAAAAGAACAAGATCAAGCTGAGAGCCTTCCAAGTCAAGAAAGGGATCGGAAAATGACGGATGACGAACATCTCTCCAAGTTGATTGAAGAGACAAAGGATGAAGGTGGTCCTGTTAGTGTTNCCGAAGAAATCAGGACCGTGAGAACCAGGTTGTCGTCATTGGAAAACTTTGTGACGAACGGAGACCAGTATGTCGTGCAAGAAAAAGAACAAGATCAAGCCGAGAGCCTTCCAAGTCAAGAAAAGGATCGGGAATTGACGGATGACGAACATCTCTCCAAGTTGATTGAAGAGACAAAGGATGAAGGTGGTCCTGTTAGTGTTGTGGTACAGTGCAGTTCGAAGCGTACTACGCACACAAGGGAGTTCGAGAATCAACGACGCTGGATAGAATCAATGGAGTATGCGTTGAAGAGATTCCCGTATCGCAAGTTGGTCGCCTACTCGGACGGTGTGGAGCCTCAACGCCCTTGTGTTTTCTGCGGAGCGCAATCAGCTCATTTTTCGGACTCATGTCCCGTTGTCCAAGATGCTCGTACACGGAACCAGATCGTCCATGATAGCAAGTTATGCCGCTTTTGCTTGGAGCAATGTGGAGACAGGTGTGGCCTGAAGAATAGAGAATGCTGGTACTGTGTCGGGGTCTACAACACACCCTTCGAAGACCTCGTCCCCAGTGAGGGGCATCACAAAGCATTGTGCCCGATTCCTGAGGCTAAAGACCAGATGCACAGACGGCTTGAAGATGCTCTCCGCGAATGGCAGGGAATGGAACGTGGCAACAGATGGGGTGGCCGGGAGTATCGTGGATGGACCACTCCACGATCCAGCGCTGAGTGGTATTGAAAAGATGCATCAGTTTGCATCAGTTCTCTTTTTCTCATTCTACTGAACTTACACTGAAGTTGAATACCTCTTCTATTCGTATTGGATGTTTCGTAACCTATTGCGTTTCAAATTCAAAGGATGGATGGCCCGATCGACTACTGCAGGATTTGGCGCAAGACGGATTTGGCGGGAAAGGAGGCTATAAAAGGCCCCACGGGACAGATGGCTCCCTCATCCTTTTTTTTTTTTGATTGTTGGTAGTACTTTTATTAACAGTTACTTTGCTCATATATTTGTATTTGGTTTAATTACCCAAGTTTGAGGTGGATAAAACGTTGTGTTTGGCTGTCGTTATATCCATATCGAGAAAATCCGCGTGGCAATAAGGCGACACAGCAGTAGTAGACGCAAAGCTCAAATGGCCTGAAGTTTAAAGATAAGAGAGGCAACGGCAGAAAAGCGACTAAGTTGGAGAAAGCTTTTAGCAGGCAAGCTTGCCAGAACAGATAGTATCCGACAACATTCCCCCTCTTCTAGATGGTATTCCAGACGAGTGCCCACAAATTATCGAAAACTTTTCGCACACAAGCCCTTCGAATTAGCTAAAGCTGTGGAGGAGGTGATCCTTCACTCCCCTATTGCGTCAAAAGTTCATGGACTATTGTGAACAAGAGACATTTTCCACCACTTATCACCCTAATCCTAAAATATTAAAAAATGCGATGTCTGAAGGGCTACGGAAGGGCAAACCGAAGGAGGAAGAGAGTTCCTGTTTGAGTTAAGAGCCACGCCGACGTGGAAACAGACCTAAGTGCCGCTGAACTGTTGGCGGGCCGGAGGATGTAAATGTTTTTTGATATAGTGATGGATTGATCCCTCATTGAATAAATATAGGGTAAATAAGAAGGTGTTATGACAACGGGAACAAGAACGTGTATGTGGTTAGCCATAAGTTTCTCGTTAGGAAAATCAGGGAATGAAAGCAAGTGGATTTCTTGAATAGTTCTGTATGACGCATGATGTGAATTTTGGAATCGGCCACAGAGAGCTTATAAGAATCAAAGGAAGAGCAGTTAATACACTGGGAATGTTCGGAAGACTAGAGGTTGGAAAGAACAGAGAAGGCAAAGAAAACAGACTAACTCAAAAAAATGAACTTGAACTAACGGGCTCCAGAAGACCGGGAAGAAAGAGGAGAGAATGAAGAGCCTTAGGAACGGAAGCGTAGATGTATTTGTCAGATTGGAGTGTTCAGTAGTCAACATGCCTGCACGACCAGCTCGGTAAACGCTGATCCCGTCATCGCCCATGGTTTCGCCGATATTCGACCCTGCAGCGACAATACCGCCGCCGCCACCAATCCAGACGCTGCTGCTGTTACCACCCCTTTGTTGAAATCGCCGGCTGTTCCAACCCCACAACAGCCGATATGCGTTCCGAAGATAGTTATAGGAACCAAAATAAAGGGTAGACGGCGCTCCCGCTAACGTGGCCAACGCACTATCGCGCCGATGGGGTACGGAAGTGTGGTGGCAAGAGCGTGAAAGGCGAGCTGTTAAGAGGGATAACGGTACTTATATGACAACAGCAGGGAAAATAGGGTGAGAAGTGGTCGTTTTCGAAGATAGACAGGATTACGCATAATGCCATGTGAAAAATGTTTAGCAGTTCATTTTGGTCTTCAGAGGTTTCGAGGAGGAAGGTTCTAAATGATTCATCGGATCAAACGTTCTTCAATATGTTACCAGTGAAGTATTCTGGCCAAAGCTTGGTATCGTCTTATTCGATAGTTATCCAACAAGCGTGCGCGAAAGGACTCCGGAAAGACGATCACAACGATCCTCTATGGTCGCCTGATGATAGCAGCGACAATGAGCCCATAACATCGCGAGATCGTACGTTTTTGGGGATGTAGAGGTTCCAAAGTAAAACGTAGCCTCTGACTTCGTGGTCTGGCCTACGAGCTCCAATTTCACGGTGCTGTGCGTCCATATTCAGAAACTTCCAAGGTGAAAGTAAGTTGTCAAATCCATACCACCCGCTCATTATTAGCTCTAAGTAAGTTTTCTTCCTATGTGCATGGTGACTGAAGTGAAACTCTGCTTATCTTTTAGATGGCCGAGGCTCATTCAATGCCACTTGCAATCAATGGCATGCGAAAGCGCAAGCACAGCGCAACGAAAGGGCATGTCGAAAGTCCTTGTGCTTCCTACAGTATCCGTAGAGAATGCTAATAAATGATACAGAGAGGAAGATTCAACCAAATACGAACCAGGAAGGGGTAGAAAGGCCAGTGTTTGTGGAGATAGGACTATTGAAATGATCCTTCCGCGAATCGATCGTGATCCAGGGTGACCTATCAAAAAGACGGCAAAAGAGCAGGAGTCATCTAGGTTGACGATTGGACGATTGTCAAGCAGAAACTTTAGTCTTCATTCCCAACCTCGACAGACAGTGTAGGGTCCGAAATGCAGAAAGTTGCTAATTCACCTGAGGTGAGACACGCCATCGTTTTCTCTAGCTAAAAAATCTTCACGAAACAACCACTTCCCATCGAATAAAATGATCACGTCCTGAATATAAACACCGAATGTGCAATCTTCCACAAAAAGTTGTTATAATAACACCATTTCTTCGGGGAAGTCACTGGCAAGGGTAAGACGCTCGTGGTTACGTCGGTGCCGACGTAAGAATTGACAGGGACTTCTAGTCAGAGGGCATACTCTGGACATAACGAAGCATTAATCCCACTCAGTTTTTCGAGACAGCTCTTACAATTAGTCCTCCCAGCAGGAAGGTGCTCCAGCCCAGAGTCAAATTTGCCTGCGAGTGGTGTCGACGCTGGCTGACGATTTCATTAGCAAAGAGGAATGGTAGTCCTCCTTTCTCATCCTTGGTCGGATCTCAACTCACTTGGCTCCTCCGTATGGCTTCTGATTAGACCGAACCTGGTGGATTTGCAGTCCCCAGAAGGAGTCCTAGCAAGCAAAACTCGACAGCGGCACGGAAGACATGGAGAAGGATACCTGCGGGCAACATGCGAGGAGTTCGAGAGCAAACTTTGGGCCTTTATCCGCGCTTATAGGGGAATTTTCGAAATGTAACTGTAGTATGTTGTAGTACATAATCTTAGCAAACGTGCGTATTGTATCCATCGTTATTCTCAGATGAGGAGCTTTAAATACATTGCTATGAATTGCTGCCCATAATTGGGACACCCAGAAAAGATCGAGTGTCAGAAGAAGCCGCACTTCCTCGAACATGAAAAACACGTTTTGTGTCCTTACGACAGAGTGCCTACTGAAATCAAGGGAAGCGCGAGAGCTCGTGAGCTTTCAGTTAGTCTATTATCGACAACACGATGTCTTGTGTGGTTGTGACTATCAGGTTCAAAACAAGCAGACCGATCTGTCCACCTATGGAGATTATCGGATATGTTGGAAGGGTAGGTCATCATAAAATTAACATAGGAATCCCATTGCATGACAGCTAGTTCCACTGGATGCCGCTTCAAATCAACCATGAAGACTCCTAGGGCACAACATTAAAGCAAGTTGGAGGTGGCTTTGGGGTTACGAGTACAGCCCTAGTATCTTATCCCACCGCATCTCTACGTGTACCTGGTGAAAGGGCCTCTCGAAAGTGCGCTAACCTAAAGAATCAGCGGATAGTCATGTAGGCACACAAATCGATAAAGAAATGCTTCGTAGTATTTCTTCAATGATGTTAGCTAACTTGTACCACCTTTCCGAAGGTGTGGACAGTACTCCTAGAATGTATGGACTGTACCGCTCACAAAGAGGGCTCTGGTCGGACGAGTCATTCGATCGCCTTCTACCGTAAGTGCAGGGTTTGCCAAAAGTTTTGAGATACAGGGGTAGAGGGGCGTAGCTATTTGGTCAGTAGCGGTAAATTGAATATATTGGATTACTATTCCCCGGAATCTTAAATTATGAGGGAGCTCAGTAGATGCGCAACATTGAGCCCAAAAACGTTTCGCAAGCGTGTAGGACACATTTCATGGAAGCAAAATGAGCACATGCATCAGGGAACCGGGCCTTATTTTATGCCTATCAGCCCACCATCCTGGCAGCAGCGCCAACGTTGCAAAACTACTGCTTTGCTCAGCTCTGCTTGATCTGTTCCCTACATTGGTATGATACATGGAAGCATTAATCCCGTAACTTTGTCCCAGAATCATTTAGCAGATTTTGAATACAGAATTGAGATCAGCTTTCGAAACCACATACTGATACATCTCCTCTTGAATTGCCACTGCGACCAAGTATCCTTCCCTTGTTAGTCTAAACTGGGTTGCCACTAGTTAAGGGTAGGTCTGGTCAAGCATTATAAGTAGGTAGCGTTATAGGAACACTCCGAAGTAGTCTGAGAGCGACGAACTTGCGTCGAATCGAGGCAAAATATATGCTTCACCATTGAAACCTATTCGGCACAGAAGCACTGTATACTCATAAATTAGCCGATGTACACCTTTAAACAGAGCGAACACGGAAATATAGCTGTATTTTGAATACTGGGTGTAGGATGATCTTATCGTGTAGTTTAGTCGTGATTACGTGTAACTTTTCTCTAAGACAATGACCGTCGGAAAAATCTAAAAAAATCTTGTCAGTCCAATTGTAAGTAAATTTAGAGTTGCTCATTACAGAATGCTCAAGATTGGTTGACGCAAATCGTGAAAAAAAATAGCGGCTCTGGAGTGCATCTGTACCCATTAAAATACGTTCGACGTCGAGAACAGGAAACAATGAACGTACGCCATTTTATTTAGATTCTCAAGTCTTCTAACTAGAAATCTGATTCTTTTGCTGGAAAATGATAAGTGCATGCGTCTCATTTTTAAGTGCCAATGAAAGGTATTCCCAACCAAAATCCATGCAAACTAAGTTCTGGATTCACATATGAGAAAAAATTCCAACGCCAACTTTCAAAGCGTGAAGGAGGTGTGAAGTTGTTAGGTTGGCGCTTGTACTTTTTGAAAGACTTATTTTGCCTAG